TTATCATTGTTAATGTGCTATTCAGGATAGTCTCAGTTGCCCATATTTTCTCTCCATAGTTCTTCCCCTTTCAGTAATATTTCAGTTAAGAAAGGCGACACATTAACACCTCATGGCAGTAATGGCAGACCTTTTAGAGACAAGTGTGCCCAAAGTGAAACTCACTTATTTATCACAAATTATCAACACTGAAATAAATCTGAATACTGAGGTTTTAATTTAGAAAAACCCTTTCATACAATATGCATGCCATAGGTTCGCCACTACTGTATCACTGCCTGCAGATCTCGCCTATGTGACTTCTGTAAATTCTAGCCTTACCTTTGCCTGGCTAATTCAAGAGATAGCATGGGACTGCAGGCTCTAGAGGGAATCAGACATCTCATCTTGTGACACCTACAAAACACTGACCTTCTAACACAAGTGTTGCACCCTGCTGTCTTACAGGTATGAGCTGACTCCAGACGGACAGCCCAGAAGCTGATGAGCACATTATCACCAATATGTTAGAATGTGTACATATGTATAGTTATTTAAATTAAGTCACTTTATGAATATATGTGTCTATACTGTATAAAATTTAACTGTATGATTAGAGAGGATGAGGTAGAGTTATATAAAGACAAAAACTACTTCATCTTGGTTAGATTTACTCAAATCCAGAAGGAAATGGTTTTGTTTTTTTTTTTAATTTGAGGAGGAGTTTGTTTTTGTTTTTTTTTGGCTACTTCAGGCTGCCTTAAGGGCAGGTCTGGTACAGCTTCTGGAGCTGGGAACTGAACTGTGGTCCTATGTGCCTGCCTGTGTTTACCCAAGTGGTGCTTTAAACAACTGAGCTATCTGGCAAAGCCCCTTGAAATGGGGTATTTTTAAGTCATCAAAACTTTAGTAATGGTTTTCTTACTTTTGGTAGGACTTACTTTTGGCCCAGGACTTGCCTGAATGTGACCTGGCCTTACATAAGGGCCAAGGGAGAGCTGTTCCTGGAGCAGCTAACAGTTCCTTCTGGGCAATTATTGACCAAGGGAGGGCACTTCTGTGGAAATACTGACCCAACCCCCAACAGCTAACACTGCCAAGGCCATTCTGGCTGCCACCTGTGATATTTCTGTGTTAGGAGATTTATTCCTGACTTGGAGCTAACATGCATTTTCCTAATGACAACCATGTTATAATAACATACTTAAATATTCTGGAAATAATTCCACATGCTGGGGGATGGCCCTACATTATCCATCATCATAGGAACATGCTAGCCAAGTTCCAATCCCAGGTCTGAGTTAACTTACAGCAGGCTTTGGAGACTCCAAAAGAGTATCATTACAAGCTTGGAATTCTGGCCCACTTTTCTAGGCGAAAGCTGGTTCACTTAAATAATGTTAAAAGTATACTATGTAAGTTGCATATGAAAAGTGCCTCTTACTTGAAAGACCAAATAGACTTAACCATGATGTTGTTATAGCTACTGTAAAGGTGATGTCCTCTACTCTTACCACTCAGACAACACTGCGGTCAAAAGTTGTTTTTGTTTTTTATCTTTTTGAGACAGGCTTTTATTACTTTAGGCTGTCCTTGAACTCACAGCAATCGTCCTGCCTCAGTCTCCCAAATGTTGAGAATTACAGGTGTATGCCACCACTCCTGGCCTCTGTCTTCTGTCTTAAGTTTGTCCCCACCACTGCCATTTGTCTAGTGAAATAGCAACATTCTAAACATTTTTTTATTTTCTTCAAATTTTCTGTAAAAATCAAAATCTACTCCTGAATTTGCCTCTTAAACCTGAGATAATCTGGCTCAAGTCTCTGCTGCTTTATTCATCACTTTCATTAAACTAGCCCATAATGAAATGGCCTACTCCCACCTCCTCCTATATAGCATTTTTCATTTTAACAATTCTTAGTCATGTAACAAAATTTTTTAAATGTTTACTAGGTAGCAACTAAGGTCACATGCTAAGCTGTGTTATGTATGCCTGGTATTTAATGTTTCATGTCAATTGAACTATCTGCTACCAAAACTGTTTTTCTTTTTTTTTTTTACCAGAACTGTTTTTCATCGCTACCATTCACACTGGTGCTATTTTGAACAATAAATTCTCATAATAAACTATGCCAAATGGTGCTTATCCTTTCTACTTATGACAACATTGTAATTGCTCTCATGAGATCTCCAGCACCCCCTCAAAAATAGTAATATAGGTAAAGTTCCTAGAGGAAAAGAGGGAAACCACAACAGTTTGCAGAAGTCAAATGGGGAATTAAAGTATTGAAAGGAATAAGAATTTTAGCATACATCAGACAGGAGGAAAACAACCTCAGAAGTTTTGTTTCAATAGAAAACACTTTGCGTGGCAATGAGGACAAGAACAAATTGGCACCAGGGATGAAAGCAATCAGCTAAACTGTCCTGCAGGAGCAGAGTCTGAAGTTACTTACCATCAACCTGAAGCAGAAACCCCCAAAACTAGAACAGGTTTAGAACCTGGTGCCTGATGAAAACATGAGTCAACCACAACACTGGCCCTTAGGGTTGTTATCTACATCCAGGGCCTCTAGGAAAGCCCTGCAGCAGATAGCTGACATGAATGGGAACTTGAAGGTAAAAATGATGCAACATAAAACACTGAAACATCAAACCAAAAAATGACTAAGATTCCCACAAGAAAGAAAAGGCCTAAGGGATCATAGACTTTGAAATCAGGACCTTGTGCTGGCCAGGCAAGTGCTTATTCTACTGAGCTATCTCCCTGGCCCCTGGCAAATAGTCTTGATCATTCAAAAGTAGAAACAAGTATGTTAGCCAGCTTTCCTTTACTATAACTGAGATAATCAGCTCATCACTCAAAGTTCATTTTGGCCCATAGTTTTGGAGGTTTCAGTTAGTGATGTGGAAGGAAGAGATGTTAGGAAGAGATGTTAGAGATCAAAACAACCAATTTGGGCAATCTCTTACTTTCCTTGTTGCTGACCAAAGTACTAGACACCCAAAGTTATAGGAGGAAAGTTTTATTTTAGCTCACAGTTTGTAGTGGTTTCACTCCACTGGCTGGCTCAAGGCAGGGAGGCACGGTAGAAGAGCAACAGCTCATGGCAGAAGGCCTGTCTTCCATCTTTTCCTTGATATTCCATCCAGGCTATAAGCCTATTGGTTGGTACAACCCACATCCAGAACTATGCTAAACCAATCAATGGATTGATGTAGTTATCACACTCTTCAACTGTGTTCACACCTTTAATCCACATTCATATACCCCAGATCCAGCCACCTTCAAAGAGCCCCATCTATTGATACATATGGCTTTGGTAGATGTTTAACATATGCAAAGTCCTAGTTTCAACCCTGGGCACCTAAATACGTATATACATACATAATAGTTCAGTGTTACATTGTGAAATCAATCCAAGACACTACATATTTTTAGACTTCAAATCATAATTCTAGAGGGGTGTAGTACTGCATTCCTGCAACCCCAGCATGCAGGAGGCTTAGGCAGGTGGACTGAGTTTCAGGCCGAGCTGGGCTACATAATGATACCCTGTCTCAAACCACTGCCCCTTCCCACATACTTCTATATTCTTGCCACAATGGAGTAGCAGACACCAAATTTACCCTTCTGCCTGTAACAACCAAATAGCATACAACAAAACAAAAATTACGAAAAAAAAACCCCAAACCAGACAATATATGAAAAAGTCTAAGACACTTTATATCAGGGATATGTTCATATGAATGTGTTTGTAGATTTCGATATATACTAGTTAAAATTGGAAACCCAAATTTCCATCAACAGGTGAAGGAAGTAAGTTATGGTATACAACAGAATAGTACATGGTAATAATTATTAATACAACATGTAAAAAAATCTCAATTTCTGAAAAATGAATTCTGAAAAAGGCCAAGCCAAAAGAAAAAGAACATATGATGTCATTTATACTAAATCCTATGACATACTAAATCCTAAATTACTAATAAAATATAGTAATTTATAATGATAGAGGTAAAATGCTGCCTAGGGATGGGAGAAAATAGGAAGGATTTGCAAAGGCAGTAAGAAAACTATTGGAATGATGGGTGTTACCGTATCTTCTAATTTGATTGTGGTGATGGTTTATGAATGAAAAAAAAACATATATATATATATATATATGTATATGTATATATATATATATATGAACTACTAGATTATGTATTTTAAGTGTGCAGTTTACATATCAATTATACCTCGATAAAATTGTTAATTTTTTCTAATATTTTACAAAATCTCTCTAAGTAACAATTGTAGTACTTTTATTTATAATTTAAAAAGGAACTGGATAAGAGCGGATCTGACAGGGACAGCCTAGAGCTATTGCTGTTAGTGTCACTGTACTTCTTAGTGGTCCTTCAAGTACCTCCAAAACACTCCCAGGCCTCTGGAGAAGTGTTTGAAAACTTCTATATTAAACTAAGAGTTAATAATAGACTCAAACTATTTGAAAAAATTTACAGTAAAATATTATTTCATTATTATTCATTAAGCATATTTCTTTCCAATATTCAAACTCTTTCATAAAAATAATTTCTTGGGATAATTTTCAGAGTATTTATATAATCAAATACCCAAATACTATTTCTACTCAATCATCAAAGACATGTTCTTTACAAACTATGGGGTGCTAGTTAGAAATGTAACTGCAGGTTAACAAAACAATTTTAAATTTAGAAGAAATCCAGGCTACTATATTTCTAAGCCTAGGGTCATACCACCAAGGATGTGGACACCAAGCTACTGACATTTACTCTTGTTAGGGTTTGTGTCTAGATGTTCTCCCCAAACCTCATGTAGTCATGTAGTACAAGAATTTGTGACTCCTGGTCCAATGCTGGCCTTATGAGTGAGTGCTACACCTCCCCTGAGTGGGCTGCCTGCATACGATATCTAGGAGGCAAAGAGGCTTGCTCCTCCCTTTTGTCCTTTTTGCTCCTTTTCTTCTTGTTGCTTTGCAGTCTTCCACTACCATGAACTGATGCCCCTCTGTCATGGACCACCCTGCCCTGGAGCCAGTGGGTTATGGACTAAAACTTCCACAAACTGAACTAGACAAACCTTCCCTGTGCTGGGGAGATGGCTCAGTGGCATAAGTGCCTATCTGGAAAGTTTAAGATCCTGAGTTCAATTCCTGACACCATTAAAACAAAAACATTCACAATAACCCTTTCCTCCTTCAATTTTTGGCATCAGGTATTTTAGCAACAAAAAAAGTGAAGACAATTTTTCACTGCACCTCGCCTCCTAGAAATGCTCTACGATACTCTGTGTGCCACCTGGTGAGAGTACCTGAGAAGTCTTCCTAGGCCTGTTACTTATAAAAAGGAAGATAAAGGGCAGCTTGAAGTAGTTTACACTCATGGATGTGATGCAAAACGCTGGTCCCTTTTAGAGAATAACTGAAAAGCAGTAAGGATAGTGCTGTTTTATTTGTATTTTTATTTTTTGAGACAAGCTCGTGCTGTATAGCACAGACTGGTCTCAAACTCAAAGCAATCCTCCTGCCTTAGCCTCCCGAGTGCTGGGATTACAGGTGTGTGCCACGATGCCTGGCAGATAGTACTCTGTAAAATGCACAAAGAATAGCACCACTGCCCAAGGGAAGCTCAGCCTAGGAAGCATATAACTCATTATTTGTAAATATAAATAAATCACTAAGGACACTGAGGTTTGGAATTTTTTTGTACAAAACTTTTATTTAAGATTGTATTGCCTTATAAAAAGCACATTCCATCAAGATTGCAAAAGACATTAAAAAAGAGGAACTTCTGTCTACTCATCTACTTCACCCCATGATTCACTTCTTAACCTAACACAAAGACTATAAATATTTGTTTCTTTTATTCCTTTCTTGTTCCTGCTCTGAAAAGACAACTGCCATGAGAGATATAATAGTAGATACCAATTAATCCTTGCCAGGAAAGCAGTGACTTACTACTGACTACACTTGGCCTTCCTTTTGCCCTGACCATAAGGTGAGTAAACTTGAACTTAAATACCTCTTTGCTATTATTTATATACACACACATACACACTCTCTCTCTCTAGGTCTTTTACTACAAACTCTACCCTATATTCTAAGCACTGAACAATTGCTTATAACTTAATATTTAATAACTTAGCAGCTATTTTTTGTAAAAGAATCTCAAAGTTAATTTAAAAAATTATAAGGTGAATCACCCAGTACTCAGAGGATGAATTCTGGAAGCAAATTTTACACCTTTTGTCTCAAAATAAGACCAATCCTACAGAATATTTAAAATGGCAAAAATGCAATTTACACACTAAAATGATTTGATTTGTTTCAGTATGAAAGTACTTTTAATTTCTTTACTGCAGGTACAATGGCATCCAAGTCATCAATTTCTGTAATGGAAAAACAAAAATAAGGAAAAAAAACTTTCCAGTGATAAACTCAAGAGGAAATTAGAACCTCCATCAGTTCTTTTAAGTTTCTGACCTAAGTCACAATACTTGTCTAGACCTATTTCTACACAGGGACTCTGGCTCTCTGTCCTAAGGCACAAGATCAAGTTCCTCCTTGGCTCCCCACACCCACCTCATTCTAAAATCACACCTGTTTTCTCAATGAGAGACCTTGCTTATATAAATGTACCTCACAGAACACTGGCTGATAGAATTTTCTCAGCCAATCATAACACTTTGTAAGAAAAAAATTTATTGCAGAAAGTTTCCTTATCTGGTATACAGTACAAGACAAAGTGTTGTACAGAATGATGCTTAATGACATTCTGCCAAACAGATCTAATTTTACAATGCTAAATACAATATTTAACCCCAAATTTGAACTCTAAACAAAATGCACAAATCATCTGCAAATAAACTTGGCTTTCTGAAGGAAATTATCTTATGTGAACCAAATTAAGTGTCATTATATCTGAGAGGGAGTTTCTGTAAAAGGATCTAAATAAGAGTAACAAGCATTCCTACTGTTTTTTGTTTGCTGGTTACTGGGAATTGAACTTACAACCTTGCACTTGCCAGGCAGGCACTGTGCCGCTATCTCCCCAGCCCACATCTAATATTTATTAATGTGCAATATGGTATTTATTAATGACTAGTACATCACTGTTAGTGGCCATTCTAAAGCAAGTAGAATTATTCTGTCAAACCAAGCTATTCAGAACATTAGGCAATGCACTTATACAAATTTCATACCTTAAATTTAACTTTTAAGTTATGCTTTGACTTGCTAGGATCTCCTCTAGTATATTAGCACACCTAAAGGACACTTACTATCACTTTCAGTCCATTAAAAAACACCCATAAAACCTATTACATTCACTATGGTACATATTCCAGTCACATATTTCTTTCATTTGCTAATCTTACCAAGCTTGAATCTACTCATTCCCTGTAATCCCTGTACTCTGTCAGGCTGAGACAAAAGATTACAAGTTTAAGTCCAGTCTGAGCAACCTAATGAGACACTGCCAAAAATAAAATGAAACATACAAAAAAAAGTCAGGAAGTGTAGCTCAATGTAAAGGTTCTGGGTTCAATTCCCAGAACTAAGAAAAAATAACACTTTCCACCCAAGATTTACTACACTATGACCAAGGGCCAATCATGGTGGGGCACACCTGTAATCCCAGCACTTAGAAGGCTGAGACAGGAGGACCGCCACAAGTTTGAGGCCAGCCTGGGATACAGTGAATTCAACACCAACCTGAACTACATATTGAGATCCTGTCAAAAAAAAAAAAAAAAAAGAAAGAAAGAAAAGACAGAACCAGGAATGAGCCATTTCTATCTCTTTAAAAACTCATTGCTTCTCTGTTCTGTGGACTGATTCCAACAACTCTAATTGCAAATTTGGAGTGTGTTTGCTAAATAAAGTATTAGTGGGTTCCACACACCTTCTGCCAAGTACTCAAGGTAAAAACTACTAACCCAGCTAACAAACATTCTTCTTTCAAAATCACTGACATCTTAAGAGTCACATTCAACTTCCAACAGCTGAGATCTTACCTAAGATTTCAAGTAGATCATTAGTAAATGCCTGAAATGCTGGGAAAAATTCCTCGTGTTCTTCCAGTCTGTTGATAATGCTGTTTAAAAAATGCAGAGTTTATACCAAATTTCTAGTTTAGGGTTCCCTGTACTTGACTGGACACAGGTGCTGCAAACACAACATCTTCAAAGTGGAAAGAAACTATCCTACTAATTTAAATATACACTTAATGATCACCTACTACAATTCTTTCTGTTTGCATTTTTTGTTCACTTAATATCACTTTTCTAAAAAAGAATTTTATCCACATATTTGTTAAACATATATAACACTGTTAATGTGAAAAACTTTCCATTTAGCTGAGACTTCTTAGTGAACCATACTTTTCTATAGGCCTTTGTAGCTAAAATCTTATTAAAAATGAAGCAAGCATTCATGTAAAACAACTGGAAGAGGAAAAAAGACCAATGGTGGAATATATGTTCCTTTTAAAAATATCAAATACCAAACACTCATGTACCAGATTACATAAGGGCTCCTCTTGGGAAAACTTGCAGAATATATTCTCCTTTCCCACACGTTCCAGTATAATGAGGGTGAGGGCTGAAAAAAGTTTACGTGTAGCTAACCATGTCTTAAAATTGGGGAGGGTAGCGCTAAAGCACTAATGGTTTCATGGAGGCTCAGCACAAATTCAACAATGGAGCTATACCCACACTCTCTCAATAGTTTTTTTTTTTAAACATTGGGTTGTATGGTAATGATGCCTAGTCTTTTAAAAAATCATTAACATTTATCTTTTCATAAGATATTATGTATACAGTTAGTGATTATACAGTTGTTGATGATGTGTCCTAAAATAGTAATGCTTTTTTTTTCTGGTATTGGGAGTTGAACTCAAGATCTTGTGCTTGCCGCACAAGCACTTGTATCACTAGCTATATCCCTAGCCCCATGAAATAGGACTTAATATAATCAGAAATCCTATAAAATAGAGTAAAAGGCTTGAATTTCACCATCTGAATTTTCCCTGAGAACAGGAGTGTGCTGAAGAGTATCTGATTCACCCTATGAAAACTTACAGACCCTGCAATCTACTTTATCTTGAATACTTGGCACTTTCTCTATTCCTGCAGATGTTATTATTCAGTCTTAGGGTTTCACGTTATTTTAAAAGTGCTATTCCAAATAGGGAAGGTAAATAACACGAAGGTTTGAATATCTTTAATTTCACCAATCCAAGCATCCCAAATGACTTTTTTCAAACAAATACCTTTGAAGATCTTCTGGTCCTAATACTTGCTTAACCTGCTCATTCACATCCTCATTAATCAGCCTACACAATTTTCCAACTGTGCTTACCAGCACACACAATGAGGATGAACTATCTGCAAAAGAAAAAGAAAATAAGGCATTTTAAGGGAGAATCTCCAAAATCATCGCATCCATCAAACATATGCTTCAGTTATTTTTGCTTTTTTTAACTTTAAAATTTTTTACCTACTTATTTATTGTAATTTATAAGGAATACTTCCTAAATGGGAACCAAAAATGGCACAGGTTGTCACCTAATTCTAAGAGTTCCTGGAGGTTCCTCACAGCATTGTTCATCTCTCCAAGCCTAGTGTAGACTTCGTTCATTCGGGGGAAGACTCCATTCAGAGAAGGCACATCAAATAACTTTTGGAAGTGAGAGACAATGGCTTGCAAAGTTTGAAAGTTTGGCATGTTGCTGTCCTGTTTAAAAGAAGCAAGTTCTCACCTTAAAATAATCACATATAGTTCATAAAAAACTTTAAAGTGTGAATATTTGTATTACCTTTTTCTTATTTTCAACTTCTTCCAACATGGCATCTACCATAAACAACAGATTTTCAACTCTGACACCTTCATTTTCATCCTGTTTCTTCAAATTATGCCAAGGCACCAGTT